TATCCACGCGCTGGCGCCTCCAGCGCAGCTCCACCTGGTTGAAAGCTTTGCTCGCCATGGCGAGAATGCTCGGCAAGACATTGCGGCGCAAGCGCAATCGCTTGCTTCCGAGCGCGATGCCGCGCTACAAGAAGTTGCCGACCTCAACGCTCGAGGACGTGCTCTGGAGGACACCCTCCATCACACGACTGCGCGTATGTCCGCGCAGACAGCTTCGAAGCCGAAGCAACGCACCGTAAAGCTCGAAGTCCCCAAGTATGGAGGACTTGCCTCCCACCAACTGCTTCGTTGGATCAAGCAAGTAAGTCGTGCCGCGGATGCTTTGAACATCGATGACGATGAGATCCGCGTGTCTTTCGCCATGTCGCACCTTACCGGTCGTGCGGACGATTGGGCCTGGGGCCTAACTTGCGAAGACGGCTTCGCGTTTGCCAATTTCGATGATTTCATCGAACAATTGAAGGCAGCGTTCCTGCCAGCGAACAGCGACTTCCGGTACCGCGCGGAGTATCTATCTGCCAGGCAAGGCAAGCGCTCTATTCGTGAGTACGTCCACGATCTGCGCTTCCTTGCGTCCTGTGTCACCCAGAAGTCTTCGCTCTCCGAAGAGACTAAGGTGACTATTTTTATGAACGGCCTCAACGACTCAGCTGCGCGCACGCAGCTTTTTCGGACATATCCTTCGACATTCGAAGATGCCGTCCGCACCGCGCTGGCCGAAGAGTTTTCGGTTCTCCAATCTCGCACCACTACCAAGACCCGCGACCCACATGACATGGAGGTCTCTGCTATGACCTCACCCACCACCGACCGTCGTTGCTTCAACTGCAACCGACCGGGACACTTCTCCCGCGAGTGTCGCCAACCACGCCGTGCGGCGACATCCGCTCGTGGTACTGCCGCATCCCCTGCACCCCGCTTCGCACATCCCGTTGTCGATCGCGCACGCGGCGGTCGCGAGTTTCCTCGCGGGCGGGGAAACGGGACTCCTCAGTAGGCGCGAGGCGTCCTGCTGAGGCTACAGAGGGCTTGCCGTTTGATCGTGGTGGCATAACACGATCAGCAGGCCCTGCCTCGGACACAGTGATTCTGTGTCAAATCGGAAGACAACCTTCCCGCATGTTGTCCTTCCCCAGTCGTATCTCTGGGTACGGCCGTTTGTTCCGCGTCCTGATCGACAGCGGTGCGTCGGAAAATTATGCCCGGCGCGCATCGCCGCACTCCGTCGTGCGTGTAAAGATGGCTGATGGCAAGGTTGTCACCTCGCCGAAGGTCCTTGTCGACCTTCCCACGTCGGTGGGAGATTTTGTCTCGACCGAACAATTCTACGTCATCGACCTCGATGACCGCTGGGATTTGATCCTTGGCATGCGATGGTTGGAGAAACACCAACCCTGGATCGATTGGCGATCCAAGACCATGCGCAAGATCGCATCCGTCCACCCTTCTACCGACCTAGGCGTGATC